TCAAAAAATGATGGTAGAGAATATTGCTCAAGACAGCACATGGTGATGTGGTGACTGGACTCTAAATCATCAAGTGAATCAGGATCTAGGACCTTCTCACATAGTCTGTTGAAGAATAAGCACATACTAGTTATCACGTTGGTAACATTTTCTGCCACTGACATGTTCCGAATGGCCAAGGGAAGTATTTGTTGCATCAAGGTATGACAATCATGAGATTTAAGACCTTGAAGTTGACAATCATCATCAGAAACTATGCTTTTCAGGTTTGATGAATAACCATCAGGCACTTTTATTTGCAGTATGGTTTCACAAAATTTTTGTTTGTCTTTTTTGCTCAGGGTGTAGGGTGCTGGAGGCAATGATTTGGAATTCTCTTTAGGAATTAAGTTTTTCCTAATGTTCAAATGAGCAAGGTCATCTCGAGCTCTAGGTCCATCTTTTGTTTTTCTCGATTGATCAAGAAGCGTTCCATAGATGCTCTCACACACATTCTTCTCTATGTGCATCACATCTAATAGATGGCGAACCAACAAATGCTTCCAATACTCTAGATAAAAAAAAATTGATTTGCGCTTGAACAATTTATTGTCTCCATCATTGTGATCACGCTTTCTCTTTCTTTTGCGGTCCTTACGCTTCCCGCTTTTGTAATTTATTCCTTCAACCAACTTCAGAACATCTTCACCGGAGAGGGTTGCTGGAGGTCCCTCTCTCTCAACTTGATTGTTGAAGACTTTCTTTAAATCTCTAAACCTATGGTTTTTTGGTAAAAAGCGCCGATGGCTCATATAGACACATTTCTTACTACATTTCAGCCATATTGAACGAGTGCCCGACCCACAAACAGGACATCCAAAATACCCCTTCACGGTGCTACCAGACAGATTACCATAAGCAGGGAAGTCACTTATGGTCCACATCAATATAGCTCTTAACCTGAAGGTCTCCTTTCTAAAACTATCGAAAACATCTACACCATCATTCCACAGGGTTTTTAGGTCATCAATCAGGGGTTCTAAATATACATCTATATCATTCCCAGGAAGTTTAGGACCAGAAATTAAAAGAGACAACATCATGAATTTTCTTTTCATGGTCAACCAAGGGGGAAGATTATAAATGACTAACTGAACAGGCCAACAACTATACGAAGAACTAAGTGAACTGTGTGGATTTACTCCATCACTTGAAAGAGCTAACCTCAGATTCCTAGGATCTTGACTAAAATCAGGCCACATTTTATCAATGTGATGCCAAGCTTGAGCATCAGCAGGATGACGTAATTTACCATCTTTAATGCGATGGTCTGCATGCCATGTCATGTCTTCAGCGGTTTTAGTAGACTGGAACATACGTTTGAACCTAGGAATTGGAGGAAAGTACCACAATACTTTCTCAGGAATTCTACTAGTAGCTGTGATGGATCCATTCTTTGTCTCTTTCCACCTAGACTCTCCGCACGTAGGGCATTTTTCAAGATCACTGTGTTGCTTATGAAAGAGGATGCAATCATTGCGACAAGCATGTATCTTTTGGTAATCCAAACCCAACACCTTCATTATTTTTTTAGCTTCATACATTGACTTGGGAATGGTGTTATCAGTGGGTAGTAGACTCGAAAGAGCTTCTAATAAAGCTGAGAACCCTTGATCAGACCATCCATATTTTCCTTTTACATTATACAACAACAATAATCCTGAAAGCCTTGTATAACTTGAACCTAAGTATAATGGTTTCTCAGCGTCTTCAACTACATCCTTAAACCTCTTTGGGTTACCATCTAGTTCTTCATAAACATTGCCTAACATGTCACCAATTTCATTTTGATCATGAAAATTTGATTGAGAAGGATTAAAGGTTGGATTTTTTTCGGTCTCTCCATGCCTAGTCCAAACAAGGTACGTTTCCAGGAAACCAACTTTTAACAAATGTACTTTTATTTGTTCAGGCTTATGAAATTCCATGTTACAACAAGTTCTACACGGACACCTAATTGATCTACGATTTTCTGAGTTAAGCATAGAAAATTGTAAGAACTCATCAACTCCATTTCTATATTCTTCAGACAACCTGTTCCCATCCTTTATCCAAGACCTATCCATCTCTCAATTCCTGATAATTATTAGATCCCAACACAATATTTAGCATACATGTTTAAATAACATATGCAAACACTTGGAAAAAATCAAGGGGGAATACTTTAACCAAAGATCATAACTATTCAAGATTTTAAGTATATGAGACTAGTTATTACAACATAGTTTCACTTAACCAACAACGATATATTATGAACACACAAAGTCCATTATTAACAACCCTAACAAAAGTAAATAAGCACACAAAGCCCACAGACAGTAGAAGTTAAAGATGCTAGCTAGTCTAGAACAAAAATATGAGCGCCAAAAGACACAACCAAACACAACCTGCCTCAATCAGTCATTCACCTAGGTGTATTAGTGTATGCGGTAAAAATCATACCAACCTCATGGAGTATAATAAAAACCAGATTTCATAATTAATGATTTAACACCATAAAACAATGGGAGCTTCTATTAAACAGCTCGTAAGCAACAAATCTAACAAGTTCAAAAATAGCTCATCATCCCAAAAACAGAAACAACAAACACAATTTAGAAATTCAGCCAACTAATAAGCATGGATTCATAAAAATAACATTGAACGGAAAGTCAATTGCTTAATACTTTAATATTTTAATACTTTTCAAAACTATATTTTGTGATCATATTATGAATAAATTAGCAAGTGAGAAGTTTGAATGAGTTATTAAAAAAGAAAGTTTTAGTTTAAATAAACTTATTAAAGGTTTTAGTAATTTTAATTAACATTAACTTAAACTCTTAAACTAAACAAGTAAACCTATATACAACATGTGAATTCTGAAATGATTAAGCTAGTAAAGTTAAAGAATGTGGTTTATACTTCTTTGTGGTTTCATTTGTCAAACACTTGACTTACAAAGTTCCCATATTGAGTTGCTTATATCAATTATTCACACAGATTCATATGTATAATTGTATAGACATCCAAATGTTTAATCATTAACACAAATAAGTTGTTTTAGTCGTATTTTGAGATTGTAAACAACAAACTATGTTTCCAATTCCTTAAACAGATGAAAATGGATGAAAATCAAAATGCCAAATAGAGTGAACTAAGTGATGAAACACGTATATAACATATCAAATTGTTAACTTTTTAGCATTATCAACTAGTTTAAATTGTAAATTTACAAATCATTAGATAATCTTTTCCAAGATTTTCTGAGATATGTTCATCAAATACGAAATTGATTTTTTAATCTTTACTTCGCATCTGTTTTTGTTTAATTTTGCAATTGTATAGTTGTATCACATCATAATCTTTTGAGTATTCTTCCAACCAAACGCGTATCGACATCAGAGTGTCTGTGTTATGTTAGGGTATGGTGGTCTTAAGTCCATTGTACATCAAGTTATTGTAAACAACAAGCTATGTTTCCAATTCCTTAAACAGATGAAAATTGATGAAAATCAAAATACCAAATAGAGTGAACTAAGTGATGAAAGATTGCCTTGAGTTGAACAAGGCTGATCGATGGGGAACGAGCAATAAGGTAAAAACCTAGGATATAATTGAATGATTACTTAGGGAGGAGATGAAAGATTATTTGTATACCTGAAATCGACGAGAATCGCTGAGGAAGAAGATCTAGCGAGAACCGACCGCCAAGTAGCACAACAGTAGAAATCGGTGAATCGCCCAATACTTAGCTTGCTGGAGAAGACCTGGCTAAGAGATGAACGAAGAAGACATGGCTAAGAGAGGAACGAAGAAGACCTAAGGGTTGGGCATCGATGTATTCTGTGAAACGGGAGAGGGAAAATGCCTAAGGGTTGGACTATTACTCCGTATACTAAACTGTGTGTAGGTGGTCGGCCCATTAGTTGATACGGGTGCTTTAAGTTGAAGTGTCACTATTTGATGGTGATGTATTTGTGTTAGAAAATAGTGACACTTATGTGTTATTAGAGGCATTATGTCTCAAAAGTGTCACTATACAAGTGTCACTATACAAGTGAATTAATGATCTTTAATTAAAGATCAGTTTATGTTAATCATGTTTTGTGGGATTTATTTAATAAACGACAGATTATTGTATATATGTTAAATACCTAGATTTTAAAAGTTTTTTTTAGAGATCGATGCCCTGAGTTAGTTACCCAGTACAACTAAAATTCCTCTTTTAAAATTCCTCTTTCTTGATGGTAATTATTTTAAGGCACTGCGAAAATTAGTCACCCAGTTTAACTAAAATTGCTCTTTAATGTTCAGTTTATGTTAATCACGTTTTTTTTTTCTAATTTATGAGTTACTAATTGATGATGGCCTGTCAGCAATAATGATAGCATTTATTTTAGTTGATAAAAAACTGTTAAATTGTAATACTTATCACTTATTTATAAATAGAATTCCTATTACCGAGTATATCTCTGTTTAGAGACTAACGTGAGATAGACTTCAGCCATCATTCACGATAACTGAAGGTATTAATACCAATAATTATCTTATTATAGAGTCCTATTTCTAATAGATTTTTTCAACCAATCTTATAATCTATATAAACACCTCTTATGATCGCCTAACGCTTGCAGTCGTGCTACGCCTCAGCTGATTTTGTTCTTCCTTTTTTGCTCTTATTTTCAACAATTATTACAAGGTAAGTAGTTATGATATTAATTTATGTAAACAACCGCGTATCTCTTATCTCTTATTTAAATTTAAATTACAATACCAAGTACCAGCTGATTCCTTTTTTTAATTATGTGTTCTACTAATTATAGTTTAGAAAACAAGATTGATTATGTGTTTTATTAATTATAGTTTTCCAAAAAAGTCGACTATGTGTTATATTAGTTTCAGCTTTACGAAAAAAATTTGTTTCTCACTACAAATAAACTATTATTGATCCCTTATGTTCTGAGTTTAATTACCCAGTGTTACTAAAATTGTTCTTTAGTAATTTAGATCATGTCTTTAACTGTCTCAAGGAACAATGGCACCTACAAAGAAGTATCTGAAAGATGTTGTTCCGACCTTACCAAAGGGTGCTGCTTTTATAGTGACGGTCACCAGAAAATGGAACGAGAAGTTTGGATTGAAAAATCCAAAAACCAAATCCGTTGAAATGATTTTCATGGATGAAAAGGTTACACAATCCTCCTTTCCTACTTCCTACTTTATGTTTTAGTCTACCTCACCTATAAACTAAGTAGCAAGAATAAGTCGAAGTAAAAAAAACTTGCCAACAAGTATGAACTAAACTGTTTCATAATAGAAAAATTGTGCTAGCCTATAAACTGAGTAACATTACCCATCAGAATAAAAACCTTTAAGCTGCTGAATAATATGGCCTAAACTCATCAAAAAATTGTGCATATTTTATCTATTTTACTTAATTCTAATAATGTGGGAATTTTGTTAAAAAAAAAGAGTAAACATACTAACACTACTTGAGAATTCCAAGATGAACTGTCAAACTGTTTACACCATTTTATTAATTAACTCTGAACCTTTACAATTTTTACATGCACTCTTACTGACTTTTCATGCAGTTGTGTTTAACCTTTTCACTTTACTCATTTTAATCTTAATTTGCTTAGTACTTGATAGTTTTAAAGGTAATTTGAAGTACTAATTCATTATTAATGCTTTTTCTAGGGTGCCACAATTCAAGCCACGATTGCGATTCAACTTATTCGTAAATTCGAATATGTTGAAGAAGGATTGATTTATGCTATTGCGCACCCAGATGTGAAGAATAACGAAGGAAAATATAGGGTCACTGGTCATCCATACCGCTTTGAGTTTACTCCATTCACCAAATTTCAGCATGGAGAACAAACAACCGGTCTTAGTTTTCCGCCATCTAGGTTCAGAATTTCTAGCTTCGTGGATATTCAGAACCCACAAAGCAGTCAAGATCCTTATTTGATAGGTACTTTTTTTTTTAATTAAAACACATACAGTAATTATATGCAGTTGCGCTTTTGTTTGCTTCAGATTAATCTGCACTTGAACTTTACTTAAACGCACTATAGTTGATATTGTTAAATCAAATGAACGCAGATATTATTGGTGCTTATGAGCTGGCTCAAACTTTTATAAAGCAAAAAACCAAAAAAGGTGATTGGTATGCTGATTTCAGCTTGACAAACTTGGAGTTAAGTTTCCTTTAAATTATCACTTGCCTAATATTCATGAATTATTAATCATAATATTTAAATTTCTTACTATATTTACGCTTTGAATGTACTATTATGAAGGGGCGAGAGTGTGTTGTGTACTGTCTACGGTGATTATGTCCTTCAAGTTGAGAATTTTTTGTCTCCTACTTCAAAAGATGCTGCTTTAAAAGATCCAGTTATATTTCTTCTTCAGTCGTGCCGCAGAAACCAAAGATATGGTACGTCTTTGTATAACTATTTGATCCTTTAAAATTACAATAGTGTTTGTTTATTCTCATTAAAGTATACTTTTTTTGACATGTAGGGGATAAGATTGGAATTGCTTCCTCATGGTATGCTACAAAGTTATTTTTGAATGAGCATATTCCAGATATTGAGGACTTCCGCTACCGGTAATGAACCTTTTCTTTATTCTTCGTATCTTAACTGAATGTGTTCAAAATATGATTTATATTTAAATTATGAATTATGAATACATATAGGTATTTGGCTTCAAGGCAAAGCACCAAGTGTACTTCAAGCCAGGCAACTTCATCTTGTGTTACTCTGAGAGATGATGGTACTGATGTCGGGTTTACTATGTCTCTTTCTGATTTAGAGACAGCTAGAGAGGTGGAATTTTATATTATGTCCTTGATTATTGCTCAATATTGAGTATTGTAGTTAACTATTACTTTGTTATATAGGTTAAGGGTTGCTGGTTCTACGCTGAAATCTGTTCAATTCTTTCATTAAAGAATTGGGCATACCTGGGATGTAGTACTAAAGCATGCCTGAAAAAGCTCAAGTATGAGGGAGCATCTCTTTACTGCCACAATTGTAAAGATGTCAAACAGACTGGTATTTGGCGGTACATGCTAAAGTTAATGGTGAAGCATGGCAAGCATTTTGCAGAGGTAGTTATTTGGGATGATGTTTCGAATAAGCTAATTGGCAAACCAGCAGATGATCTAAGTGACAGCCTTAACATGGTAAAGTGTTCAATTATTATTCTATGTTATATTTATCTGAAATTAACAATTTGGGAATTAACAATGTGATCTTAGTATAAAATTCACTTCCCTTCTTTTATGCAGGAGACTCTATCGCCCTCTGATGTTCATAATGATGTTTTGGATTTGATTGGCCGGGAATTCATCTTCAAGGTAGGGAATCGCAAGGTCAATACCCTTACAAATCAGAAGGAGTATACAATAGCTGCGTTTTCTGAAAATGCAGACAAAATTAAAGAGCTGAAGGATGCTGTTCAAGAGGAAGTTGTTGAGGTATTAATATTAGTTATCTTCATCAAATTAATTGAAAGTTTATGAAAACCGAATAAAGATGATTGTTGGTGGCACAGTAAAATTTTCCCTTTTAAATGACTACATTTGAAAGTAGCCCCTTTGAAATTAGTTTCTACAAACGTGCAAACACTCGATATTTAGGATGTCAAGTAATAATATGTTTACAATATTTGTTTAAATATAGAAACATTTATTTTGCTATTCCATATCTTGGTTTTGTTACCCTCTGTTTACAGTAATACGGAGTAATATGTTTACTAAGTTAGATGACCAATACCTTATTGTTTTCCATTATTTGATTGGCTTATTTGTACTTGAATTATAGAGATTTTGAACATGCATATTTAATTGATTTATATTCTCCAGAAATTTGCTTATTACTTAAATGTATTGTGATCTATATGTAAACTTGAACACTTAAACACTAACACTTGGTAATTATCCTTTTTATTCGATAAAGGTGTATGATTCAGACTCCGATCTCGAGAAACTGTGGAATGAAGATGCAAATGTGCCATCAAACTTGGTGAAGTGTTAACAACATTGTTTGAAATAGATTATTACACATGTGATGAATATAGGACATGCACTAATCAAGCTTTTGCTATTTTACAGACAACATCCTCAACAGAGATGGAATCTAATCAAACCTTGAGTCTGTTATATCGAAAAGGCATGCAAATGAAGAAAGCAGTGAATATGATGGAGGGGAGGAGAGATCTGCAAAGAAATTAAAGGGTGTCAAGATTGAAATTTGACTCCGTCTACATTGATCAATTTATTTATCTTTGATATTTAATTTTTATATGCTTCGATACACTTAGATGTTTGGGATTTGCGCTGTTGCGTGATTTTGGTTATTATGCCGCTTTGAACAATTAGATACCATGATACTCTGAGTATTATTTCAATATTATGTCATTTAGGTGTCAGCTTAAGGTTTTTACTTAACCTTGATGCATTTAGTTTTTGTTGTTCGTATTTCCAATCTCAATTTATCCTAGATTTATAGAGCAGGCTCTATGAGATGAATAATTATTTATCTACTTAGTTGACTGCTTATAGTTGGGACTAAGGATAATCCTATGATGCACAATGGCTTATAATAAATGGGTTTGCGATTTTGTTCTGTACTTGATGATTTGGAGTTATGGCTGGACCACTTATGGGCAGTTGTACCAAACACGAGTTTTTATAATCGTAAAAAATTCACCTGTTTTTATAATCGTATTATTTTTGTAATTACGTAAAAATCTTAAATGACTAAAGTTTGAATCGTTCAAGTTTTTTCTCTAAGAGTCAAACATGAGCATAATCATGGAATGATATAGATTATAGATAGTCTAGCTAGAATTAAAGAATCTCTTAAACAAATTATTCGAAAGAGTTATGACGTTATGAATTACCCCAATAAATATTATTATTATGGAGTATTTGTTACGTAGTATTGATGTAACACAATTTTTTATTAAGTTCAACAGTAACTTAAGTTCAAATCATCTTTATTTTGAAAATATATACATAATTATTTCTTTTAATAATACTCCGTATGAAGAGTACAGATCATATCAACCTAGACTGATGAGACTCCGATCCAGTCAAGATCGTTTGAGAGGCTTCATGGTGAAATGTGTTATGATTTTTTACGAGTATGGTCATTATGAAGTTTATTTTATCACTATTTTAATTAGAAATTAAAATTCGATCGAAAAGTTTATTAGATAAATGTTTTTTATATATGATTGACAATCGAACATGCCGAATTCCTCAACCACATGTGAATTTTAATTGATTAGTGAAACTAAAAATATGTCTGATGCAATATAGATCGTTGATTTACTATATGGATAGACTCTAACCGTATTCTATTGCAAGCTTATTATATACGTAGTACGCCTGGACTCGGGCCGGTTTGGGCCCGGTTCGGGCCTGGGCCCGGTTCGGGCCTGGGCCCGGCCGGGCCTCGGGCCAGGAAATTTGGGCCCGAGCCCGAACCACCGGTGGGCAGTTCCGGGTCCAGTTCCGGGTCAAACCGGGCCGGGCCGGGCCGGGCCGCCCGGCCCGAGTCCACCCCTAATACGTAGTAGTTACTACTGTGTATATAAAAAGTAAAAATAGAATGAAGGTAGTATAGTGCAAGTGTGCAACCGTGAAAGTCAATTATTATAAAAATATACTCTAATACTCCGTATACTAAACTGATAAGGCTAAAACATTCCCATATTGAATGGACTCTTAGAAAGACTCCTTTACGTATACTGCATACTTCCTTCGTATGGAATGCAGTCAGACATATCGGCAAATTCCTAACCTTCAAAAACACTATTCTCTATCCAATTCTTGAAGGAGGACTCTGAACAATTTTTGCCCCTGGATTTCCTTTCACCACACACGGGGTTTTATTCCCACCTCTCTGCGGCAGTTCGATCTAGCCGGTTAATCTTTTTACCATAAACTCTATCTAGCCAACCTTCCTGCAAGAGATGTTTTCTTAACATAAACCATATTATTATTAGACCTGGGAGGTTTAGATGATGATCAGTGTAGCACTTGCAATCTGCTTCAATCGGGTTCCCTATTCTAAATGTTGTGGGTAAGGTAAGCATCACTGCCAGGTTTTTTTTCCTATGTTTTAGTCAACTTTAAGAGCTTGAATTTTTCTATTTCTTCATAGGGAGTGCCTTGGGTTCAAAGTTTATCTCTGTTTAGATGTTTAATATCTAAATTCACATTATGGGTTTTAATTGTTCTATTTTTACTTCATTGATATGTGAGAACCTTTAAAAACCAATGATGACCGACTAAAAGCTTGAGAGTCAATTATATGCATTATGCATTATGTTATCATTCAATTACATTGTATCTATATGAAGCATAGAAGTCATTTGTTTCTTTTACACTGACATTTTTATACATATGAACATCATAACTTGATGAGCAAATTGTTACGTACAGAAGTATAAATCAACTAACTAATAAAGGGATATAAAAATGCAGTACAAATTTAAAGTCTTTAAGCCCCTTGCCCCCTTTAAATATTACATGACATGGTTGGGCTTAGAAGAAAACGCAAAACAAAGCATAGAAGGTCCTTGATATCCAATCGGAAGTGAAATAATCAAGTCGAAGATCACTAACCAAAATGAGTATGTGTCTGTAGTATAATGGAGCTAATGTATAATGGAGCTAATGCACTTCTACACTCTTTCTTCCATGTGTTTTCAATTTGTAGCTCAGTGCACTTCTCCACTTTCTTTCTTAAAGAAGATTTCTATTCTTTCATGTCGTTCTATTTTGTTGGTGTATGATGTTTTTTATTCTTTTACTCATAATATTCTATACTAATATATTTACAATGTTAGTTTATGAATGAAGAAACTTCTTTTTCATATGCTTTTGGTCTATTATGTAGTACAGGTTTATAAAATTTTAGGTACACTTAGAATAAAGTACGTAGTACGTAATATTTTAAGGTGCTTCCAAGTCAAACTGTTTTTATATGTCTATCTATTACCCCAGTACTACGTATTTTTTATGTGTATTTGTCTATATATGTTTGGATCATATCATGTATTAATGTATAATAACAAATAAAAACATAATTATGAATTACTAATGTTAACTTTGTCTAATGATTTTTTGTAGGCTTCTGATTTAATAACAGAATCCATGAGGAAATTGACGAAATCCACTGTTATAATTGGGAAAAGATCACTTCCTTTAGGTGAAATCGCACAGAGTGCGGATGCCAATAATGCAGACTCTACTCAAGACGTTGTTGGCGTGGTAGGCATTGGTTCTAAAGGCCAAGATAAGTGGGAAAGAAAAATGAATCCAATGTCAATCTTTCTTCTAATTCAAATAACTGCTCATCAGTGTTAAATAGAGCGTCACTACAAAACATAAACACTGATAAAATTCCAAACTTCTATGAAATACGTAGTACTCCGTACTACATATGTTTTTATTTAAAAAAACGTATATTTTTATAACACATTAATTATTATTTGGTTTTAATTTTACTTTGTGTTATTAGGATGTTTTTACTTGGACTGTAATTTGCTGGTCTGGTCTGGTCTGGTCTGATCTGGTCTGGTCTGAACTGGTCTGGTCTGGTCTGGTAAGGTCTGGTTTCTTTGTATTTTTATAACTATCCAAGTCTGGTCTGGTCTGGTCTGGTCTGGTCTGAACTGGTCTGGTCTGAACTGGTCTGGTCTGGTCTGGACTGGTCTGGTCTGGTCTGGGGCAAATTACTGTGACATCCTAAAAATTTAAATAGAATATAATAATAATAATAATAATAATAATAATAATAATAATAATAATAATAATAATAATGATAATGATAATGATAATAATAATAATAATAACATATAGTATAATTATAATAATAATAATTAAAATAAAAATTAAAATAAAATAACACAAAAATAAAATTTGCTTGATAAGAGTAAACATACGTACTTTATCTAATAAAGAGATAAAATACTCCATGCTGGTGGATATTGGATAATACGTATGTATGATATTATGGATACCACATACATACATAGTACATACTTTTATCATGCATGGATAACATACATACATAAGATTATACCAATGGTCAGGAGCAACCGTAACTAATGTTATTATTATCGTAGTAATAACTGCGGCAACTCAACGGACTTGGAAAACTCTAGGAGCAGACGGAATACCACGTAGTAGATATTCTAGGACCTTCGTACGCCTATATAAAAACACATCGGTATACTTGCAAAACCCAGAAAACGAAAAGTACGAACAATAAAAAGAAAGCACCCTTTGAGCGATTGTAAGCTATTATAGTCTCTGAGAGAGGATTCTGTGGGCGAAGAAAGCAACTAAAACCGTCGAGAAACGAAGCGGGAAAAGGCTGCCGGAGTTCGCCGGAGGAAACAGTTGCCGCGCAGGAGAGAGAGAGAGCTCAACTCCGCCACTAAAGCTGCGTTGCCGGAGGGGGGAGAACCACCTCTGGATTTATCACCTGCCGCCGAAGAAGAAGGTAATTATTTTGAGTGAGGAGCAAACTAGAAGATATCTCTAGGAGTACTTGGAGTTGAGGTAAGTCCTATGTCAACCAAAATGCTTTTACCTCGGATATTATATATGATATGTATTTCTATTTATTTGAGTAATTGTTGTTGAGATTATGATTATGTGGATTTTTAGGAATTGTGAACTATTTGTGTAAAGTATGTTGTGTTGTACGTTTTGGAGAAATGTGAATAAAAATCCTTGTTCTAAAACTATATAATAGATATAGATTTTTTTTTGGGAAATAATTCAAGATAAAATGAACCTTTCGATGTAAGGGCATCGCGGGAGAATTTTTTTTTTGGGAAATAATTCAAGATAAAATGAACCTTTTGATGTAAGGGCATCGCGGGAGAAATCCGCGGTGTCAGTGTTCTCCACGACCTTGACTGTGGGGGGTGGTTAGGGCTGCTACTACTGGTTTGGGAGGCTCGGTAACCAATCCGAGAAATTTGAGAATTATTTGGGAAGCTCGGTAACCAATCCGAGAAAAAAAATTGAGAATTTTATCTTTGGGCATCAGACCCTTTTATTTTAGTAGTAGCAGTAACCTAGTCATCTAGGGGTAAACCCCTTTTTGGTGTGGTAGGGGGACGTTGACGTCCGGACTACTTGGGCTTCTTACTACTCGGAGGGCTTGGAATCCCTTTTGGGGGTGTGCACACTTAAGGTAGAAGTTCAGTTTCCATGGGAGTTGTGGTACCGGCAAAAGTTCCGGGGTGGCCGTACATAACAACGGTCCACCGGGCTCAATATGATCTTGAGCACCGCCCTTCGAATCTACTAGGAAGTTTAGTTATAAACGAGATTCTGAGGAGAGCAAAGACAAGAGAATTTTACTTGACAAAAATCATTTTCATATATTAAATACAAAACC